ATCATTACCTTTCAGTCATAAATTGAGTCCCACAAAGCAAGAAATTATATAAATGACCTCAAAATACATGAGCTGTCACAGGGAGACAGAGTAAAAAAGACAACAGGAGACAGGAAATAGCCAGAGGTAAGTGCTCTTTGCCAGGTATACTTTGCAGTATTCATCCACACACTGGACTGCTTTGTATTTTCCATATCTCTGAAATGAAATATGCCTAATGGAACAGCTTGTTGAAGGCAGCGATTCCATTTATTTATTTATTATTTTTTTTTTTTATTTTATTTTATTTTATTTTATTTTATTTTATTTTATTTTATTTTATTTTAGTGTTTATTAGTTTCAGGGGTAGATTTTAGTGATTCGTCAGTTGCATATAACACCCAGCGCAGTGCTCATTACATCAAGGGCTCTCCTTAATGCTCATCACTCCATCCCCTCACCCACCTCCCCTCCAGCAACCCTCAGTTTGTTTCCTAGAGTTAAGAGTCTCTTATGGTTTGCCTCCCTTTATCACTCTCTTTTTATCTTATTTTATTTTTCCTTCCCTTTCCCTCTGTTCATCTGTTTTGTTTCTTAAATTACACAAGTGAAATCATATGGTATTCGTCTTTCTCTGATTTATTTTGCTTAGCGTAATACCCTCTAGTTCCATCCATGTCATTGCAAATGGCAAGATCTCATTCCTTTTGGTGGCTGCATAATATTCCATTGAATATATTTACCACCTCTTCTTTATCCATTCATCTGTCGATGGACCTCTGGCTCTTTCCACATTTTGGCTATTGTGGACACTGTTGCTATAAACATTGGGGTGCATGTGCCCCTCCGAATAACTGTTGTTGTATCCTTTGGATAAATACCTAGTAGTGCAATTGCTGGGTCATAGGGTAGTTCTATTTTTCAGTTTTTGAGGAACCTCTATACTGTTTTCCAGAGTGGCTACACCAGCTTGCATTCCCACCAACAGTGTAGGAGGGTTCCCCTTTCTCCGCATCCGCCAACATCTGTCATTTCCTGACTTGTTAATTTTAGCCATTCTGACTGGTGTGAGGTGGTATCTCATCATGGTTTTGATTTCTATTTCCCTGATGCTGAGTGATGTTGAGCATTTTTTCATGTATCTGTGGCCATTTATATGTCTTCTTCAGAGAAGTGTCTGTTCATGTCTTCTGCCCATTTCTTGATTGGATTCTTTGTTCTTTGGGTGTTGAGTGATCTTGGATACCAGCCCTTTATCTGTATGTCATTTGCAAATATCTTCTCCCATCCCGTAGGTTTGAAGGCAGCAATTCTTAAATTTTTGATCTCAGAATCCCTTTACACTCAAAATTTATTGAGAATCCCAAAGAACTTTTGTATGGACAATATCTATTAATATGTACCAGTTTATAAATTATTACTGAAAAATGCTAATTATTTATTAATTTGGCAACATAACATAAAATACGTGCTATAGGTTAATGTAAACAACATATTTTTATGAAACGTAACTATTTTCAAAACCAAAATAATGTGCATGAGGAGGGTGGCATTATTTTACATTTTTACCAATTTCTTTACACCTGGCTATGAGAAGATAGCCAAACTTTCATATTTGCTTCTCTATTAAATCTGCTATGACATCTTATATCATGTTGCCTCTAGAAAACCCCATTGGACACTCGTGAGTGGACAGTGAGATAGGCAAAGAATGTCTGAGAACTCCTCTCGCACCTTGACTCCACTGTCTACACAAGCCCATTTGTGCTCAGCATCCTACATGCCTTGCAGGCAATGAGTCTGACTTCCAGAGCACCAGCTGAACGGGTTTCAGCAGTCACCAGTGTTGCCAGAACAGCTGCAAGTGCTTATCTAGTTTACAAAAGATGTTATGTTAAAGATCATTGCAGCAAATCTACAGTAAAGCTTCACATCCAGAAAGACAACCCCAGGGTGTGATGCTGTTGGTGGTGGTCCAAAAATCCCCGTTCTATGACGGATTGCACACAAAATACAATGAAGAAACTGGAGACAATATGAGACCTCCGATCATGAAAAGCAATTTAAATGGAGAGTTTTAATTCTGCAAACCAATTTTTCATGACGTTACCTAATTGGTTTGTTGTTGTTGTTGTTTTAGTTTTTATTATTTAAGTACAGTTGGCATACAATGTTATATTAGTTTCAGGTGCACAAAATACTGATTTGACAATTGTATGCGTTATGTAAGACCCACAATGATAAGTATAGTTACCATTTGTCACCATACAGTTATTACAATATTATCGACTATATTCTTTATGCTATACTGATGACTACACTTCTGTCTGGTGCACCTCCCCTGGGTTCTAGATCGGGTATATTGCAAACTGCTGCTTTCATATTCATGGCATTTACCTTATTTGCTACATCATGGTACAAACTTGTCTAAATTTAAAGAAAAGGAGAAGGAAAAAACAACGTCATGGTCTGAGTTATTTTAGTTCTGTGAGGATCTGTTTCTTTATATTTCAAATAATGACATTAGAATATAGTTGTATGTTAACATATTAAATTACTCTCAAAATTAACAAAAAAGGAAAAAGAAAAAGAAGAAAGAAAGAAAAAGAAAAGAAAGAAAGAAAGAAAAGAAAGAAAAGAAAGAAAGAAAGAAAAAACACTTTTGGCCTTACAGCTGCCCCCAAAAAGTCCCTGATGATACTTTGAGAACCAGTTACTGGCTTAAGGGATCAAATTTGTCTTAAATTAGAGCTGTAGAGCATATATGGCTTACAGTTGGAAGAAACCATCTTATGTATCAACAGAGAATAGGGGTAAAGCCAATCTCCCCTCTATACCCCTGGGCTAGCCTGTTTCCTCCCCAACAAGCCAACAACCTGGACCCTGATGTATGGACAAAGTGTAGGACAATCTCAAAAGGGAATTGCTGTGTAAGAAGAGGAGAATTTGGTAGTCTGCCTACTGGGGCTTCCCCTTGTACTACCCAAAGGAAAGGTCTTCATCATGGAGGCTTGGGCAGCTCTGGCAAACATAGATAGGACTGGAGGACCCACTCAGTGGCTTAGGAACACAGAAAAATCTAGAAGCTTGCCATATGACACACACGTGAAGAATAAACAAAAAGATATTTAATAAATCAAAACACAAGCAAACAAACCAAACCTTAGGCCTTCACATGTACTCAAGAGATGCTCCTTCACCTGACCCCTCTCCCGACATTCACGCTACCTGGAAGATCCTGTCAAGCAGCCCCGCTCACTTTCTCAAGAAAACCTATCTCCTACAAGAGGAAGCCTCACTCCCTGGACCCTCTCAGAGTGCCCAGCCTTGAGTGGTGTCCTAGTTTCAGCCAGGTGAACACAGATGTTCCCCTCTCCCAGTTAGTTTCCTTTGTCAAGAATTGCCTATTGTCCTCACCACTCGTAGGTATTTGTTTTTGACATTAATCCTTGTACTGTCCCCCCTTACTTACATAGATGAGTAGGGAAGGGCACCCTAAGAATCTGGTTTGGCCTTAAGTGAATAAAAAGTTGTAATTTCAAGGCCCTGGCCCAAGTCTTTATGCTACTAAAGAGTGGCCACCGGAGGATGACGGTCCTGCAGCTTGAAAGGGCAGCAGAACGGATCCCCGCATCTTCTGTATTAAAGAGCCTCCAGGAAACAGGAGGGTGAAGAAAGATCTTCCGCTCCTCTGCAAAACAGTGTAAGTGAAATTTCCACTAACAGCAGACCTGCAGATCAGACAGTATTTAGGAAAAGAAGGCAACTCCTTAAATCGGTTTTACATTTTTTTAGTCTTTGAAAATATTGGTTGTCCTCCGTGTAAGTTTGTGTTCTTGCCAACAGTTGTCCACAGGTACCCACCACATTTTAAGAATGAGAAAAACGATCTTCACTTCACAGCGAATGGGTTTGAGGAGACAGCAAAGGTCACCAGACTCACCATACCAAAGCCAGCCCTGGCTGTTTCTGCCCCACCTGCCTGTGGTGTCCTAGTCTAAATAACTCAGGCTTTGGTGAATATCTGCTGTGGGGTATTTTGTCTAGTGAAGTCCCTGAGGTGGGAGAGGGGTGGTTCCTAAGGCAGCTGAACATCAGTAGTTAGGGGATTAAATTTCCTCCAGGTGGAAGCATGAAAATTGGGAGCAGTAAGAAAATTTCCTTTACTGAGGGTTGGACCCCAGGACAAGGAAATGAAGCAGAAAGTGGAGCAGGCCCTCAAGGGATGCAGCTACATAGGCACGCTGTTATACAGTTGTTTCCTTGAACTCTGAGGATAGTTATGCTGAGTAATCCCTTTAAAATGAGGTTCCCCTACCCTGTAATCGCTGGTGGCCATCCCATCATAGGGGGTGTTTCACATGAACAGTTGGGGGAGACAACAGTATGCAGTGGGGAGCCAGGCCAGAGGCAGGAGGATTGATCCCTTCCTGTTTGATACCGTTTTCCTCTATCATGTCACTTTTTATTATACTCAAGCATCTTGCTTGGTTCCAGAATAAAAAAAGAAGAAAAAATCTCTTCCTACGCTGTAATCCTTACCTTTCTCACCCATAACTGTAGGAACCCGAAGGGCAGAAATTACCTTTTTTAATGTCTATTCGTCATCACCTAGCATCATCTGGCATTCAATCAATATTTAATTGGGGGTGGGGGGCATAAGATATTTTCCTCAAGGAGAAATCATTACATCTATTTGGTCCCAAATAATTAAAGTGACAACAAGAACAAAGAGAGCCAACAAAGACTGTTGTTAATCATACTGTGATTACATAAATGGCACGATTTATTTGTGTCCTTTTACTATGCATGTTATGTTCCCGGGCAATTAAGAAAGAGGAATCTTTCAGGCCAATTAAATATTTAGATGATTAACATTACCTCCTGTTACCAAAGACATGTTTATTCAAACACAGGGACTGAAATAAAACGTGAAAAGGGAAAAAAAAAAAAAAATGGCCTGTGGCTCCTCCTCCAGACACCCCCTCCCAACTGTGATGAATAGGAGGGACTGTTTCCCCCCCCTGCCCCTGGGAGACACTATCCTTGCAGTGTTTTAGGCTGTTTTGAAATGCTTTTCTCTAGAAGAATTTTTTTTTTCCTTGATACCAAAGAGCTGCTGCTGCTCGCGTGGCTGGCGCACCGGGGGCAGAGGACATCGGCGGCACCTGTCGGCTGGTGAAAATGCAGACTGATGATGGCGCGTCTAGGGACGCGCTTTCCCTGGTCTGCACACCGCACACACCTTGAATGACAGCGACTTATTCTCGACAGGCTTTTCCTGCGGGAAGCGCCACGCGCGGTCCTTCGGCTTGCTCTGGAAAATCTGGAGAGGGTCTCGGACGCAGAAGAGGAGCCGGGCGCGGCGAGCCCGGGAGCGACTCCAGAGCCCGGGGACGCCGGCCCTGCCGTGCGCGTCGCCGCGGACCGGCTGTGCAGGCCGCGGGCCCCCAGCCTGAGAGCGGGCGGCGGCGGCGAAGGGGCGATGCGGCCAGGCGTGTGCGGACTCTGAGCTGCCTAGCGCAGCGGAGGCTCCGGCCTGCGCGCTCCCGGCCGGGCAGCTTCACCCGAGCCCGCGCCACCGGGGATCGGCGGCCCAGTCGGCGTCCGGGCGGGGTGGGGGCACCACGTGCAGCACAACAGCTGCCGCCAGATGTGCCGGCGCCCCGCTGCGAGGCCGGCCCCCCGGAGAGGCTCCTGCCCGCGCCGAAGCCCCGCTCGTCCTTGCCGCTGGCAGCCTTCGTGAAGGAAGCCGGCGACCCCCGGCCGCGCAGGGTCGCGGAGAGAGGCGGCGGCGGGAGCACGCCCGGGCTCCCAGAGCGTTGCTCGAATCGAAGCGCCTCGCCGGGAGGTTTGTCCCCGCGCGCTCGCCGTGCCGCGCGGCGCCAGCGGCAGGGGAGAGCGCGCGGCTGAGATGGGCGAGACCATGTCAAAGAGACTGAAGTTCCATCTGGGCGGGGAAGCAGAGATGGAGGAGCGGGCGTTCACCAACCCCTTCCCGGACTACGAGGCCGCTGCCTCCGCGGTGTTCGCCGCCGGGGCGGCCGAGGAGACGGGCTGTACTCGCCCCCCACCCACCACCGACGAGCTTGGCCTCCCTTTTCACAACAACGGAAAGGTGAGTCGGCGGTCGGCGCTGGCCGAGCCTTGGGCCGCGCCAGGTGGGGGGGGGGGGGGGGTTGGCGATGGTAGCGTCCACCCGTCCCGCCCCGCCCCCAAGGCGCGCTGACGTCACCTCTCCGCGCCGGGCGCCGCGCGAGTCCCAACCTGGGAGCGCGAGGGAATCGGGGAAGAACGGCGACTGGGCGCGCTTTCTGTTAGCAAGTTGCCCTGCTTCCGGGAGGAAGGGTTATGGATTTGTTTTGTTGACAGCTTGCCTTTTGATAGGCGCCTCCTGGCCTCTCATGCCTTTGAAATACAGTGATGAAGCCTCTGTTTCTTGGCGCGTGGAAGTGAATGTCAGGGCTGTGGTGGCGGTTGACATGCAGATTTATTTTCTTTTTTTTTTTTTAAAGATTTTATTTATTTATTTGAGAGAGAGAGAATGAGAGAGAGAGCACGAGAGGAAAGAGAGTCAGAGGGAGAAGCAGGCTTCCCGCCGAGCTGGGAGCCCGATGCGGGACTCGATCCAGGGACTCCAGGATCATGACCTGAGCCGAAGGCAGTCGCTCAACCAACTGAGCCACCCAGGCGCCCGCAGATTTATTTTCTATCGGGGGCCCTCGCACGCGCTCCAGCCTCTGGAGCTGCAAGCGTACCCCCTGACAGTCTGTTCCTCGTCTCCCTGAGACCGGTTTTATCGTCAGGCCTGGCCCCTGGTCCCCTGCCCTTGGGATTTACGGCAGAGGAACAACAACAAAAAAGCGTTGTTCATAAACAGTAGTGTCATTTGGATTGGTCTTGTCTGCGTGCCCAGGACTTTGAAACGGGGTATTTGAACAAACGTTCATTTCGTAGGGGAGAAGTGGGAATAAGGGAAGACGTGAACATCAGCGTAACTGTTCACGTTTGGTGAAAGCAGACGTTTACCAGTTAGGTTATTGTTTTTTTCACCGACCTAAGTGTTCCAAGTCCCAGTTCCCCTCCCTGGTTCCCCATGTATTTTGCATTTTTACTGTAAGTCACAAGTAGTGTAAGAGTAAAGAGAGGAGGTTTCTTAAATCTGGAGGGAAAAAATACTAAGGAACCAGCAACGTTTCAAAGAAAAAGTTGTAAGAAAAAATGATAATCCTCATCAGTTCATTCAGTCCCGTGTTGTTAATTCTTGTTCTGCTCGAGTCCAGTTTTTTCATTGGTTCTGGAAATTCTTATCTAATTCGGTTTTATGATCTTAAAGTTAGGTGAAATCTGTATTCTAGACTACTTGCCAGAGTTTTTACCTGTTTTTACCATTGTGTATCTCTCTGAAGATGAAGCACATTTGCAAAAGCATAAGAGTAAAACAATGACTGTAAATGACAAAAGACTTAAAAAATGGCCATAGTTAAAGATGTGATGAGAGTTCATTTGATAAGGAAATGTAGTTATTTCTGTGGTGTGAAACAGTTTAAGATAATTGGTCATATTGGAACATATATCCATACACATACACCTGTTGAGGAGGAAGATCTTCCTTTGCCCTGTGGTCCTTCTAGCTGGACTTAGAATCAAACCCACGTAAGAGATTAACAGGAGAAAATAAAATTTAACAGGTGTACTTGCAGGGAATCCATACAGACAGGAGATTCCAAAGATAATGAGGCAACAGGAAGCTTTTAAGAGCTAAGGAGAGGTGTGTGTGTGGGGGGGGGCTGAGGACACAAAGGGGGAGAAAGACCATTAGCAAGGAAGTGAAAGGGGATGTTTGGAAAAACAAAGTTGCCATATTATGCAGATGAGTTCCTTAGGTAAAGGGGAGTCTTTTTTACTAGCTTTCTTCCCGTTACAGGCTCTCCTTTACAATGTAAATTTAGGCAGTTGTGGGGGAGGCAGAGAGCTTTTCCTGCATCTGCTGGGTTTTGATTACTTTAAAAAAAAAGATTTAATTTTAGAGCATGGGTGGGGTGTGGCGACAGAGGGATAAGGAGACGCAGATTCCCTGCTGAGCAGGAAGCCCAATGCGGGGCTAGATCTTTCAGAAATCATCAAAGACGTAAAAATCTGAACACTGTTGGGGCGCCTGGGTGGCTCAGTCATTAAGCGTCTGTCTTCGGCTCAGGTCATGATCCCAGGGTCCTGGGATCGAGCCCCACATCAGGCTCCCTGCTCAGTGGGAAGCCTGCTTCTCCCTCCTGCTCCCCCTGCTTGTGTTCCCTCTCTCGCTGTCTTTTTCTCTGTTAAATAAGTAAATAAAATCTTAAAAAAAAAAATTTGAACACTATCAACTACTTATTTAAGAAGCTGCTAAATTTCTCTGGAGAAAGGCTACTGGTGATTAAGAATACTTGTTTCTATAGCTCTTAGCAGCCTTGGGACTTAATATTTTTAAATTTTTTTATTATTTGTTAATATGATAAGGCAAACTATGGTACTTATATTTATTTGCATTTCATTAAGTGCTAAGTAATTTAACATTTTTCATATGTTTGTCATTTCATATTTTTCTTTTTGTAAGGTACCTTGATAATTTTAGGTCTATTTCTATATTGTGGTCTTTTTTTACTTATAATGTTTTATATTGCAGATGTTTCCCCCTTGTCATTAATTTTTAAGCCATCTTTCTTACATTCTTTAACTTACGGAAGTTAACATGTTTGTGTAGTCAAATCTATCTTTTTTTTTTTAATTTTTATTTCCTTTGGTTTCTACAACTTATTTTTTGTAATCCTACCAATGCCTATAGTCCATATAGGGCATTACCTCATTTAAAAACTTACCTTATAAAATCAAGGTAGACACCAATGAAGCATCGAAAAGGGCCAGGTAATATAATCTCTACCTCTTACGTTCTGAGGTTATTTAAGTATTTATTATAATATTGCTCTATTCTTACACAATATAAATTTCTGTATTCTTTTGGTTCTCAGATCATTCATAATTTCACAAGGCGAATCCAGACCAAAATCAAAGATCTTCTACAGCAAATGGAGGAGGGGCTGAAGACAGCTGACCCACATGATTGCTCTGCTTATACTGGTTGGACAGGTGAGAATGTGGGATACAAGTAATTGGTATGTTCTATTTTGGATTTATAATTATAAGACTTGAATTAAAATTTTTCTTTTGAAAATAGTAAAGTTTTGGAGTGGGGGTGGGGTGGGAGGGATGGGGTGACTGGGTGATAGACACTGGGGAGGGTATGTGCTCTGGTAAGCGCTGTGAATTGTGCAAGACTGTTGAATCTCAGATCTGTACCTCTGAAACAAATAATGCAATATATGTTAAAAAAAAAAAAAGAAGAAGAAGAAGAAGGTATCGGGAGGGGAAGAATGAAGCGGGGGAAATCGGAGGGGTAGACGAACCAGGAGAGACGATGGACTCTGAAAAACAAACTGAGGGTTCTAGAGGGGAGGGGGGTGGGAGGATGGGTTAGCCTGGTGGTGGGTATTGAGGAGGGCACATTCTGCATGGAGCACTGGGTGTTATGCACAAACAATGAATCATGGAACACTACATCTAAAACTAATGATGTAATGTATGGGGATTAACATAAGAATAAAAAAAAAGAAAATAGTAAAGTTTTATACCCTTTAAGTGATATCTTGAACTTCTTCAGTGATGAGTGCTTTGGAGTTTTATTTCTAAGAAATATTTTCTGCTTGAAGTTTGATATGTAGTATGTCATATTTTTATAGCATTATGTATTTGACCTAATATATGGGTATCTATGAAAATGCATAATAAGAGAAAACTTGCCTTAGGGTCAGTTTTTTGTTTGCCTTTATTACTTTGATCTTTGGGACAAGTTGTAGTATGTGATTTCTCCATTATGCATAAACTGTTTAACCTATTGCTTGTACTCATTTGACTCATTTGTACACATAAAGATTTTGTTTTTGAATTTAGTGATAATAATTGAATAAGCAACCTGTAATACACATTACATCAAAAAACTTAATTTCAAAATTATCTTGTCTTAACTATTCTTTACATTCTTACTATTTTACCATATAGCCCAAACATTGTAATAATAATTTAGGGAGTATAAAAGAAATAAAAGACCTTCTTCTGAGAGTTTAGACTGTATTATGGTTACTGCTAATAACAATTTATGTATCAATGTACAGCCCTTGTTAAGTTTTTATAGTGTAGTCAATGAACAGCATAGACATAAGTATTCATGTTAGAATTACTGAGAACTGATACCTGCTTTTGCAGTGCACAACCAAACATAATGGCCCTGATCTTTTTTTGTGTTCATTTTTATATTTATTTCTGTGATGCTTTATTTGTATTTGCCTATTATGAATACAACATTTACATAATGACATTAAAATTAAATTTTTCAAAACTATTAAACTCAGAAAGACATGGAGCTAGTTCAACTTACTGAGCCAAAGAAATTTACCTTAAATGTAAATTTAGATAATTTTAGCTAACTTGAAATAAAATGCAAGAAGGATTTTTAAGAAATATTTATTTTAGAGAGAGAGTGCCTGCGAGTGGGGGGAGGGGCGGGGGGAGAGAGAGAGAGAATCTCAAGCAGACTCCCTGCTGAGTGCAGAGCCTGATACAAGGCTCAATCTCACAACCCTGAGATCATGACCTGAGCTGAAACCAAGAGTCAGATGCTCAGCTGACTGAGCCACCCAGGAGACCCAAGATAATTTTAGCTAACTTGAAGTAAAAAGCAAAGAAGGATATTTTTACTTCTATTTATTTATTTATTTTAAGATTTTATTTATTTGAGAGAGAGAAAACGAGCATGAGGTGGGGGGAGGGGCAGAGGGAGGAGGAGAAGCAGACAGCCCACTGAGCAGGGATCCCAGTACAGGACTGGAACCTAATGCAGGACTCAATCCCAGACCCAGAGATCATGACCTGAGCTGAAGGCAGATGCTCAACCTGACTGAACCACCCAGGCACCCCAAGAAGGATATTTTTAAAGGAAAAATAACATAGTTATTATTAGCACAGATTTCCCCTAAAAAGTCTTTTACTTAAAACATTTCTTGTTGAAATGGGGGTTTGAAGTCCATGATTATTAGGTTCTAAATAAGCTATGCATCAGAAACAGAGGGCTTTATAATAACATATTATCAGCCTCCATCCCAGAATGATTACATGAGGATCTCTGGCAGAGGAGTCCAAGAATCACTATTTCTTAAAAATCCCCATTTGTTGTCATCTTTTGGAATCAGTGATTGAGCCATCATGGAGGTATTTGGTGTGAATGGTTAAAAATAATATTTAGGGCCATTCAGAACAGACAGGCCCAGATTGAAGTGGTACCTTCTGCCTCTGCCCTGATTATCAAAGCCCTCAAGGAACCACCAAGAGACAGAAAGAAGCAGAAAAACATTAAGCACAGTGGAAATATCACTTTTGATGAGATTGTCAATATTGCCCAACAGATGCGACACCGATCTTTAGCCAGAGAACTCTCTGGAACCATTAAAGAAATCCTGGGGACTGCCCAGTCTGTGGGCTGCAATGTTGACGGCCGCCACCCTCATGACATCATAGATGACATCAACAGTGGTGCGGTGGAATGCCCAGCTAGTTAACTACAAAGGAAAATGTTTCAATAAAGGATCATTTGACAACCAAAAAAATAATAATAATAATATTTAGGGCTTTGGGATTCAGGTAGCACTATGGAATCTACTTAAACCCATACCTCCTATCTTTTCTCCTAAAACTGTACAATATAAGAAGAATGAATGAAGCACCCACAACTTATTATTTTTTTTAGCAAAATTGTGAGATAGAGAATACACCGAATAATAATGTATGAAAAACACATAGAATCCAGAATAACTGTAGAAAGTGACACTGGTGTCCAGGTGAGGAAGCCAAATGACCCATTGGTGGCAAAATGTATTCTGCACTTCCCCCTCTCCCAAATCAATAAATAATTATTCTCAGAAGGATGACACACACCCTCTGGGGGAATTTTTGAGGGCATATCTGAACACAAAGTGGGCAAGGAAGAGAGGCAGAGAAAAATGGTATGGAGAACATACAGGGAACAGAGGTTATAGAATTTTTTTAAACAGCATTATTCTAAAAAAGGAGATTATTTTATGAGGCAGGAACTTCATCCCTGGTGGCACTGGCTAGTAGTGTAGTCAAAAAGGAAACGTCAGTGGGTCAGTGGTAGGAACTCTTGTGAAACAAATAAGGATATGAGAATCAAAGGAAATCTGGTCACCACGAGTCACCATATACAAATAAACTGTCACTTAGTAAGAAGAGGATGCCCTTGAGATTAAAAAAACAGGGAAAGCTATCCTAACATTTTCCCTCTTTTAGAGAGTCCTCCTGAAAAATTCACCTAATTCAAACTTAAGAAAAAATTCAATTGTATATGTAATATTAGAAACAAAGGAATATCAAATTTTGTCAGTGGAAGAAGAAAAAACACCAGGAAAATGCCATTACAATGTGGAGAAGAATTGCAGCATTTTCAACATTAATTTTGGAACTTAATTAAGCAATTATATCACAAAGCAGAAATAAAAGGAACCCGGAAAAGAGACCGCAAGACGCTAAGATGATGTGAAATAAGAACTGAAAGAACTAAGAAAAGAAATTGAAGGACAAGAAAAAATCACTTCAGAAATAAAGTCCAAATGACAAGGGGCTGAAGAAGGAACGGACACTACAGAAAGCACAGCAATACCATAAAAATGAAAAAACATAAAATGAAGAGAGAACTCTAGTTTCTGGTCTGGGAAATGAGTTTAGAAGTTGTCACTGCAGAGTAAAGAGCTGAACAAACTGAAAGATAAACAATTCTTAGATCCATTAGCGAAGTGAGGTCATAGGGCAAATGTCTACACCAAAAATAGGAGAGATAGATAGGGAGATACAGAAAATCACAATTTACTGGAGCAGAGAGCCACACGAAGGAACATCCATGGGAACGAGTGTGGGGATAAGAAATTTAAACTTTTTTTAAATAGAGAGAGACACAGAGAAAGAGGGAACACAAGCAGGGGGAGTGGGAGAGGGAGAAGCAGGCTCCCCGAGGAGCAGGGAGTCCAATGCGGGGCTCGATCCCGGGACCCTGGGATCATGACCTGAGCCGAAGGCAGACGCTTAACGACTGAGCCACCCAGGCGCCCTGAAATTTAAACTTTAATTAATTGCTGGAGGCTGAGTGTGAATAGTTATGAGAGTTAAATGCCTCTAAATGGACCCAGTTATAAGGACCCTTCTTCACTTTTTCAAGCGTTCTCACTGAGATTGGAGAAAAATCCCTTTGTGCTTCTGGAAGGGCTAGGAAAGAGGAACCATTTTGAAATATGTGAGAGCATTGTTTTTCTTCACCAGATGGGCCCTCAGGAGAAACTATTTTACCAGAACCTAACCTACTGGAGTTTTATTGAAGCCAGACTTCCCTGGGGGAAGGGAAGTACCCAACTCCAGCCCCCTATAACTGTCCTGTCCAACCTACAGGAAAGAAAACACCGAGAAGCACTAGTAAAGGTCATAGCCCAGGGGCACACCAAAAGACTGAGACCTAATCATAGGACCATCGAGTGCTTCTACTCCCCTTTTCCTTACCACCACATTACTAAAGGACCGGTTACTGCAGTTTCTTTTACCCTGTACATTATGTTGACCTTGCAATAAAAATTCACAAGGACTACTAAAAGGCAAAAAAGTAAAGTAGAATTAAAACAGTTTGAAGTGACTTAAGTAAACGTCAGACCCAGAATCAGATACGGCAGGAATGTTGACATTATCAAAGCAGGAATTTTCAAATACTGTGATTAATAATGCTGAGCATTTTAGTGGAAAAGGAACCATGTAAGAATACATTAATAATGTAAGTAGAGAGATGGAAATCCTTTTTTTATTGTTTTTATTTAAATTCCAGTTAGTTAACACACAGTATAATATTAGTTTTGGGGCTCCTAGGTGGCTCAGTTGGTTAAGCGACTGCCTTTGGCTCAGGTCATGATCCTGGAGTCCCGGGATCGAGTCCCGCATCGGGCTCCCTGCTCGGCAGGGAGCCTGCTTCTGCCTCTGACCCT